AAAGTTACTATATTAGCTTATGCTCCGTGTGATGAAGATTGGAAGCCACTTCTTTATTCTTGTCTTCCTTGCCTTTTTCTTTTCTCTTCTACTTTTTTCTTTTTCTTTTTCCTGCACCTTCTGAACTTTTTCTTTTTTCTTCTAGTTTAGTTTATATTAGTTTTTACTATGTTTATTAAAAACTTCAACAAAATTATTTTTTAAAAAAGGCAGCCCATGTGGAGCCTATCCAAAGAAGATCATGCATTTAAGACATGGGCAGATCCGACATCTATCAGCAAGGATGCTCTTCTGAAGAACAGCGAAGTACATTTCCCTCCCCCTGCCCTGCATGATGAAATTTTAAATACTCACTTTTACTGCTGATATATTATGGAAGGATATACTGATAATTTGATTTGTTTTATGCCCCTTTCTTTGAGTGTAAGAGAGAAGAACTATGCTAAAACCTGGTAAGGGAGAGATGCAGTAAGAAAAGTCAGAGGTCTGTGCAATGCAGACATGTATCATGTTTACTTTTACTGCAGCAGCCTTGTAACTGTTCAAGATGTTGGGATGGGATGAATAGCAAGTTCAGAGAAGGGTAAGAAGAATCTCAACAAAGGACTGGAAATGGGGTTATGTCTTGCCTGCAAAATAGAAGACTTAGGGGAGAAAAAATAGCAGCCTTCAAGATTATAGAAGAGGGAGTGGGCTTGTTCTCTGTTGCCTCGGAGAGCAAGACTAGTGGGTTGAAAATGCAGGGCGGTAGATTCAGATTAGCTATTAGGAGAAGTTTCCTGAGGTATAATCTCACTGGACATCTTCAAACAAAGGCTGGCAGCAGTCTACCCAAAATACTTTAGAAGATCCTGCAAAGACGAGATGATCTCTGAGGTACCTTCCAACTCTATGATACCTTAAACTGGTACAGGTAGTCCTCATTTGGCCATTGCCTCGTTTAGCAACTATTCATAGTTACAGTGGTGATGAAAAAGTAACTTTACGACCAGTCCTTGCATTTACAACCTTTGCAGGTCTGTAAAGCAAAGAAAAGCTGAAGTCAGATCATGAGCACAGACACAGTTTCACTTAGTGACTGCTTTGCTTAATGACCAAATTGCCGGTCCCAGTTGTGGTCACTAAATGAGGACTATCTGTATAGGCAATTCAAACAAAATTCTGCAAAATGGCCTTAATGCTAAGGTGTAAGAAAAATTTAAATCTCAAAATATCAGAAAAAAAAGCTACTAGGGAATTTTGCATCAGTTCAACATCAGAACAATGTTGTATCCTGCATCCTAGACACAAACCTCGGTGAGCTTTCCAAGTGACAGAAGAACTCCATGGGCTCCATTGGCTTCCATAGTGCTTATTCACGTCTGGTGTTTTGCAGCGCATTCTTGCAACATAATTTCTGCCACTCTTGAACTCAAAGCCTTCTATGTCCACCCAGGTTTCTGTGTTGACAAAGACCCTTCTCTGTGCTTGCTAGGAATGAGGGAGGAAGGAAGAAAACTATCACACATCTGGATGGATAAAATCCCCTCCCCAAGGGCAGGGAAAGTAGTCTAGCTGCAGAGACACACGCCTCACTGAGAGACCATCCTCCCCCCCTACTCTCTAGAAACATGCATACATGTCTTCAACTCAGTCTTGACTCCTGGCAACTGCCTGGATAAACCCCTGTAGTTTTCTTGGCATCATTTTCAGAAGTGGTTTGCCCTTGCCTTCTTTCGGAGGTTGAGAGGGAGGGGCTGGCCCAGCATCACCCAGGTGGCTTTGTGCCTCGGGTGGGTTTCCACATCCCTAGTCCAGCACCTTAACCATTAGGCCAACCTGGCTCTCTACCCTCAATGTATGCTGGACTACAATTGTAGTCAACATGGACATGGTAACTGGGAATGAGGGGTTGGACTATGGTCCAGCACATTTTAAAAGTTTTCAGTTGGGAAAGCCTGCACTATAAGATAGTGACTTTACACAGCCCAACACTTTGGTTTAGGAATACTGGAGGACTGATGGACAGCCCAACTGTGTCCTGAGCCTTTCCACCATGGGTGCCTGCCATTTGGCAGGATGCAAACCTGCCTCTGTTGAGTTGGCTTGGTTCTGATCAGATAGGAGACCTGGCAGGCCCTGAAAAATTGTTTCTGGGTCCTTACCACTTGAGGCAGTGCCTCATAATTTTGGGAGCACCAGGATCCTTGAGAGCTACCTCCCATCACATCTCCTTCCCCTTGGCTGCTACTAACCTCCCAGGGTTCTTGAACGACCTTGAATGCCAGTTCCCACTGCCAGTCCTTCAAAATCTCCTCATAGGCCTTTGGCCTCTTCCACTGGACTCGGCATTTGTTGGCACTGCACTTGCTTTGGAGATCAAAGGGTGGATCACATTCAACTGGAAAGAGAAGATGGGTGAGGAGAAATGCTTCAGGAAGGCAAGAGGTCCCCACTGCTAAGCTACATCTATTCATTTCTGGGACCTCTAAGAAGCGAGGATCCTGAGGATCCTAGGATATCTGGGGTGGAGAAGAACAGCAAGGGCAGGAGCCTCCCAAGAAAATGGCGGCCAGAGAACACTGCCGGCCACCCAGAAGGTTTGTTATCCTCCCCCTCCAATTCTCCGCAGGACTCACTGTGCAATCTGGGCTTATACATCATAAAGACGACATGGGTGTGGTGCTCTCCCAAGGAGCTGGTGTGCAGAGTCACTTTGTATTCATTGTTTTCTGTGAACTCGCCTTCCTCGTTGTATGCTGAGCAGTGGAAATGATCCAGAGTGCCAGGGGAGGCAGACAGGGGGCAGATGAGGTCGCTAGAGAGTCCAAGGGAGCTGTACAAAGGAAGAAGACTGCCTTTACTTCAGCCTGCAGCAGCCCACGTATTGCTTTTGGAATGGCACAAACCAGGAAGGGGGCAAATCTGAATTGCATGGCAGCCAGGGGAAGGGGCCCTTTTCAAGGCTCCATGAGAAGAGCTACCTCTGAACATCAACATCATGTATTTGTAGACATTTTACTTGGGGAATGCAACTGCTGCCCACTTTGCTAGCAGCGTGTGCTTTTCAATGAACCCCTGAACCTGCTCTTATATGAAGCTAAAGATCTGCCTATGCTGACCAGCAGCCTCTCCCAAGACCAGCAGGATGCAGTCTCTTCTGGCCTCTTGCAGGACTGAGCCCAGGGGCACCATGCACTTTCAGCCTTTCCACACAAGTAGGTCACAGCAGCACTTCATTATCATGCTTTCTCCTGCAATGGAACACAATCCAGATTTTTGCCAATAAAGTGATCCATGCGCTGGATGTCTAGCCGGAAGTCCAGACATCCCCATATGCTGAATATGTGCTTGTGAAAAAGAAAAAACGGGGGGGGGGCAAGTGTAATTTTGGGCTGTATCAACAGAAATATAGTTTCCCAAACCCAAAAGTTAATAGTTCCATTTATTCTATATTGGTCAGATATCACCTTCAGTATTAAGCCCAGGTCTGGGCAACCCGCCTTGGCTGTGTTTGCACAACATGTTTCAAAGGTGGAGCTGGTTTGAAGGCTGGGCATTCTCTCCTGGTTCTGCCCAGTTTGATTAGGTTGATTCAGAAGGCTGGTGTTATGCCTAGAGCAGACAAACAGAATGACAATGGAGCCCCTCGTTTTTATTTTTTTGCTCTGCATAGTTTTTGCTCTGCATAGCGACGTTGGTGGTGCAGATGTTCTCCTCACATGCTTTCTTCAGAAAGACCTATCTGTGTCACTTCTACTCAGTAGCAGAGAGAGCAGTCTGAGGAGGAAGGGAAAGAGTTTGATGGCTTGTCAGTTTTCAGTTGATCAAGATCTAAGTTTCACAGAAATCTACCTCTAATCTGGGGGAAAAATAGGAAGATGCAGCTCAAGACATTAATGATGAAACAAATAGATCATGCCCAAAATGTTTTCATAGAATCATAGAACTGAAAATGGCCATAGAGGTCCCATAGTCCAACCTCTTCTGCAGTGCAGGATGCACTAGAAAATCTCTGACATATGATGATCCAGCCTCTGTTTGAAGGCCTCTGGCAAAGGTGAGCTCATGTAATGAGCAAGAGAGACAATCTTGAGGAAGAGCCGCAGCCAAGACAATGGTCAGATAAAAGAAATCTGAGTCCAGGGCAGAAATATAATTTGAGAAAGGGTCTCAGACATGATTCTCCTAATTCTCATGAAGATAAAGGGAGGGAGGGAGGGGGAAAGCATATTCAGACTTGCAAGGTACTGTTACTATAACCTTATAATAAAAGTAATATGTGCTTGAGCATCTTTGGCTTACAAATTTGGTCTACCTTGGAGGGCTGACAACTCACCACTTCATATGGTGAGCTCAGTTCATATACTGTATATATTCTCTTCTATCAGAACCATGTATGGGCGGCAAAGGCTTTAGAAAGCATGCAAATGGGAGAAATTTGCATGTAGGCAAACCTTCACCAAGGAACAACTATTCTTTCTACATGAATACCTACAACCACATGCCCTGCCCACTAGTGTCAGATACAAACTTCCAATAAACTGCGCAGCTGGATGGAAAATAGCTCAACAAAGCAGCCGAAAAATAATACAGCTAATGATCATGGATGCTCACCTCAGACTAAATAAATACTAGCACATCACAGATAACCTCAAGGAGCAATTGGAACAAACCATGACCCCAGAACACACAAACATGCTGAGAACCACCATCAAGAATACATCCCTAAGACAAGCTGAAAAAAAGAAAACAAAACTCCAAACTGCTCAAGCTAAATCCCAGAAACAAAGAGGCAGCTGAACCCAAATAGGTAGTCAACGTGTCCAGCCGCCTACCCTCCACCACAGAGCACAATTTCCTCCAGAAAAGTCTCAACTATAACATAGATGATGCTAATCAGTTAGAATTCTTTGCAGCCTTGGAAGCAGCATTTAACTTGCCACAGAGACCCAAGAAAATGTAAGACAGACAATCATCCACAGACCAGAAGAATACAGAAACAGAACCAACTCAAAGCAAAGGACAGAGCAACCCTCAAAATCCTAAAGATCAAACCATCACCACCCAGGAGACAAAGGCTGAACCACAGTTATCACGGACAGAACACAATACATACAGAAAGCCAAAGGTTACTGGAGGACCAAGAAACCTACATCCCAGTAAAACACCAACCCAATACAGAAACTGGAAAATCAGATCAAGAGAATCCTCAATGAACTAACCAAGAACAGCAGCAGATGAAATGCAGTGGACTCGTCCTCCCACGCTTCTATGGATGCCCCAAAATACACAAGCCCAACATACCTCTTCATCTAATTGCATCATTACCAGGGATCCCAACTTACAATATAGCCAAAGAACTTACAAAAAGCTTGGATATCTCATAGAGGGGAGCAAATATTCTAACAATTCTACAGTGCCTCCAAAAAATCAAAGACCTAAAAATAGAAGAAGATGAAATTATAATTTCATTCGATGTCACAGCACTTTTCACATCCATAGATCCAGAACTAGTGAAAGAATGCATGGCAGCAGTACTACACAACACACCCAACCTAGCCAGATACACTAAGATCGAAATACCCAGAATCATGGACCTCATCAACCTCTGCTGCATTACCTACTTTCAGTTTGATGGACAGATATACCAACAAATCAGAGGAATACCCATGGGACCACCACTCTCAGGACTCATAACAGAGACCATAATGCAGTGTCTAGAAACTACAGCACTCCCACACATAAAACTGAAAGTATGTAGATGATACCTTCATCATAATAAAAAAGGAACAACTAGAAAAGACACATGAAACAATCAACAACATATTCAAAGAAATAAAATTCACAAGGGAAGAAGAAAATAACAACACACTACCCTTCCTGGATACCCTTATCAGTGTCAGATTCAGCTGGCACAGCAAGGTGAACACTGCTGCTCAGCTTCGCCTAGTCAATTTCACCACCCCAGGCGCTAGCAGCGAAAAAGGGGAAGTTAGCCAAACCGTGAACTGATTGCTGACAGGTGTCGGTAGTTAACTCCGGCCAAGAGCGGATACATTGTATCACCGCCGGCTTCCCTCTAGCACTGCAGACAAAGGGAAGCGCAGCGATCAGTGCGTGATTGAGAACTCCCGGCTTTATGCGCAACAGGAAAACCCAACAAAGGCAACGACCACACAACCAATAGACGGCAATCAAGAAGACAAAAGAACTGGACTGAATCTGCCATTTGGGCGAGGGGGGATTACTGCGGGTAATTGGTGACGTGGTAACGTGCGGGAACGGGGAAACTATAAAATACCATGTAAGTTATGCCAAGCCAACCCTGGCTTTGTCTGTACCTAC